AAAATATTGCGAAAGAGGTGAGGGAAATCTTTAATATTTCCATCTTAAGATAAAGTGCAACATGCCACGTTCAGATAACACAAATAGCGGACTTAAACTGATGTTTCATGTCACATTCCAATTTTTTTCCTTTTATTCCCAGTTGACGAGCGAGCCAATAGTTTTTTTATGTTCTCCTAATTTCTATAATCATAATGTATAAAGATAGAATCAACCGACGAGCCACTAGGTTAATCCTAGCAGAGCTTGTCCCAGTTTCAGTGACATGAAGTGACAACTATTGTCATGGTGCAAATACATCGTAGGATACCACCCTCGCCTTTAAACCTTTTTTTTTTCATGTTTTCTTTATCGTTTGCTGTTACCTTTTTAACACTCCTGAAACAGCAGCTGTATTTCTCGATGTTTGACCTGAACAAGTAAGGGATAGGTAAATTGCTTTGTAACAATGATGTTACCAATGATGATGACAATAATAATGATAATAATAATAAGAAGAGTGTGTTTCTACTGGTACAATATGATAATCTTATCATTCAAGAATATTGCATAGTTAGGCCGCAGTAGCTCTCCTAAAAGGGGAAAGGCCACGCCCATAAACCTATTAGGAAAGTGCATGAACCCATATAAACTGTAAGATGAGCCTCTTCCAAGTGTTCATCAGCCAAACCCAGCTCAAGTCCAAAGGGACCTTCTCGTTGATCTTTGATTCCAGGAAATAAATTCTCCCAATTCCAAATTCTCCCAATTCCAGGAAATAAATTCATTTGGCAAGCAATTCTTGATTATTGGCCTTAGCACTGTAATTGAGGAGATACTTTAAGGATCTTGGTCGATCTTAAGGTCAAAGTTCAGGTTCTTGATTGTCCGTAATGAAAACTGCAAAGAAAAAAATTGAGATAATCCTAATACTTTCCAATACAAAAGAGGGTCGTTGACAAATATGAGAGTAGATGCAAGCTTCTTCGCACAGAACAATAAAAAATGTCTCGATCGCATTTCAAAGGTTAAATACAAATCAGCTGGTCACCCTTATCGTTGACTCAAAACCATTGTCCGTCTTCTGCCACGTGGAAAATTTTGGCTGTGGAAGAGGAGGTTGGACACCAGTAATGAAGATTGATGGAAACAAGGTATTTAGGGCGCGATTCTCATTTGATATTTGGATTTCGTCTTGCTGGCACTGGCAGTGTTCGCCATTGTAGAGAAGATGAGAATATCATCTAACCTATGAATGAAAGGACCCTTGAAAATAGTTATTCCTCTTCCACTGAAAACACTTCATCATTAATTAAAGTTATTAGTGTAAAAAAACCATAACTTCCCTGGGAAAGAGGCGTTTTAAGTTATTTGTTTTTCGGGATTCCGTCAAATTGGATATTTTTCATCACTTGGGAATAAAAAGGTATGTTTCCTGGATAAAAAATAAATGCCTATAGATTGATTTATTTCGTGTTCTTCGGCAGGTAACTTTTCGTTATGACTCAGAGTATTGGGTCGATAAGAACACCTTCAAACTTGGTGGAGGAAAGACTGGGTTTGATTCACAGGAAACTAAATTACCGACGTACTGGAACACACCTTTCTCTAAAATTTGCCTCGGTATGAAGAACGGCCAGAACAAAACATTTATTGGGATGAACAAACAGGCCGAGTCTCTGTACTCACTGATAGCTGATGGGAATTACCGCAATACGTCACTGGGACGTACCACGCGGAAGAACCTGATTGGTTCAGATGCATCTTTGCAACGGAATTGTAACATGGAAGGATTTAATGCAGTGAGTAAAGATAGAAATTTTGCGAAGGCCAGAATCGGTATCATTGGCAACAACGAAGAGAATTGTGATTCTAGTGACTCCTGGATTGGGTTTGGTACAGGAGTGGTTTATAATGAAAATTTAACTTGTGGTAACTATGCACTAGCCAACCCAGATAATGGTGACAAAACCATAGGCACCATGGGATACATCCTCGTGCAGTGACCCTAGGTTAGGAGAATCCAACGGATGTGGAACTTGGACTTTGATTCACCATTCTTACAAATTGTTCTAAATGACGTCACTATAGCCATTTGCACAAATTACGCCATACTTAAACTGAAAACAGCTTTCTGAAGAGAAGTGCGATACCAAATTTAGTAGTTTAAGGATTTGTTTCTCCGCTCAGGATCATAGCAGAGATCGAAGAAGTTGCATTATCAGGGATTTTTTGAAGACGTTTTTTTATGTCAAATACAGTAACGTTTCGTGGTTCGAAATTGTTAGAACATCTATGGTTACCACAAGCTGCGTAAAAACTGAAAGCTTATGTATTCTTTAAATTGTGTAAAATTTGATGCTTTTCATTAAGACAATCAATCAAATGCGACTGTAATTCAAATCATTCGATACAGTTTAAAGATGTGATAAATTTGCGATATTTGAAAATAACTCACCTATGTTTAACCTAATAGAAAGTGCACGAAAATTATATCGTTATAACAGTGCAGTCGACATTTTTGTTTCGTTTACTAGAAACGAAACGAGTTTATTTTGGCTGCAAGGTGAACTGTTCACTTAGTGGGGTAGAGTGGCTAATCGAAATGAAGTTTTTAATTAATAATGTAAACAACTTCAAGCTGGAAAGAAGCTCTGAAATCTCTGACGAAGGGCTAACGCTCCAAACGTCAGCTTTACAAACTCTTTACGGTGGCTAGTTTCTATCATCAACTCAGTTGATAAAGCCAAATTAACCTTGAAAAACAAACTTATGAACACACGATCTTAAGAGATCGCAAAAAATATATGAAATGATAACAGAAGGAAAGCCAATGTATCACAAATAAAAACTTTTGACGATTTAGTGATTTTAAGTTGATCGAAGCTTTATCTTTGTCGAGCAATGCAGTATTGTCTTTTAATTGGTAACGTCTTGACATCGAACCAAGCAATAAACCATTGCAACTGAACCTTTAAGTTCAGTGACTTTTACTTGCATACTGATATTACATGAAAGCGTGTTTACAACAAAAAGTAACTTTCTAAACATCCTCCATAACTCGTACACTGTGTAACAGAATGAGTATTATGGGAGGCCTGTGGTCAAGAAGCGATGTAACATGTAAACTATTAGAAATCAAGAGATCAAGAGCTGGTAAATTTCTCCTAGATAAATCTTCTAGCTTAAGGAATATGCTGCTCTTTTTCCTAACATGTAGATGGGAACACCACGACATAAATATATTCAAGAATATCTCTCTGTTAAGTAAAGACTGGCCACCCTTTTTTGTTCGTGTATTTTGAGTCACCAAACCACATCTTCGTTCCCAAGGTCCACTCAATCAAATGTTTCTTCATTCGGATCATTATTGAGCTCATCTTCGTTTCCATAGTAATCAAATCCACGGTTTACATTTCATTTGATTACTCGTGACCTCGATTCAATTCACCCTGGATGTCGCCAGCTTGAAATAGTTGGTGATTTGTCAGAGCTTCTGGCTACAGAGAGCTCGTACGACATGCACGGAACCACTATCTCCTTCGCAGTCATTCCTTGGGTTGTAACGTAATGGAAGCGTTGCTTAACATCTTAAGAACGACGGAAGCACAAAGGAGATGGTTTTGTTTGTAAATACGGACACTATCTATGGGGTAGTCGGTAAACTGTTCCCTCAACTAACAGGGGATGTTGCTGTCCCTTATGCAGGCGAGAGAGCCGAACCTACAAGACCGTAAAAGAAATCGTTCAGAAATTTATTTGGTCTTAATACAAAAAAGGAATTACAAATAGTCAGAGCGCTGCTTCTGCTAGATGCTTTATATGAAACGCATCTTCCATTGAGCTATTGTAGAAGAAATTTTTTAGAATTTTTGCACCTCCTCTTCTCATACTCAGTACACACAAGCAGTAATTACGAGTCAAATAAATGATGGGTCACTAGATCAAATATGAATGTTGATACCTTTGGTCTTTTATCTTGTTCCGTCATGTAACCAATACACATACTCTCTGTAGTGTGACCCCAGACAAGATCAACCGTACAATCTTAAGCAAAAAAAAAGAGGGAGAACATCAATAGAGAAGCACGTCTGCTTCATTTAATGAGAATACAATAATGTGTGCGACTGTCAAATTACCTCATCAACATTGGATTTACCTGGGTTTCACATGTAAATGATGTTCAATTGGTTGAATTAAAACAAAAATACAACTACTTAAAAAATGAAGAGTGAAGAACACTTTGTGACGGAAATCAGAAGATTTTGTAACTTCACGTACTCTTACTTTCAAAATAACGCGTCTTCATTTAGTTGAGAAAAGAAATTACTAACGATAAGCGGTGATAACGAAAATTCGAAATCCTTTTTATCAAGGTAGGCTTACCATCGGCGGTCTCCTCTTCCTCCACTCGTAGAAGCAGCACCCCTCCTAACTTCTGCTCCACTGTTGAAAGGAAAGGTGACCCTAAAGAGATGTATACATGTAATATCAGAAAGTTTGAAAATCTGTATATAATCACCTCGTGAAACAGGGCAATTCTTGTTCTTTTTTGTTTGATTTATTCTTAAGATGATTGGAAGCAAGAACGTCGCGCACACGACTTGTACTTTGTGTTCTCTTCGCATTCGCCTCGTACTTGACTATTCTCGCCTGAAAAACGCGAAAAAAAAGAATGAAACCTGCAAAAAATAACTAGCCGTAGAGAATATCCTAAGGGCAAACTTTCCCACGAAACAAAAATGGAAAATACTTCGAAGAATTCCAATTTCAAACATCTCCTATTCCATCCGGAAGTGATTGCCTAGCAGAAGTAGATGGGAAAATGTTAAATTACAAAGTTAAAGTAGCACCTAAAAACACGTCCTCAAGTCCCTCCTGAACCGCACTGACTGCGTCCCTAAAACAAGAAACACAATTTTAAAAACATAGGAATGACAGAGAATAGCTTTACAGAGAAGAAACCGAAGACTAAACCTCAGGGGTTCATTGCCCTGGTTTATATCAAGTGAGCGAAAAAATATATTATGTTTAAGGTTTTCGAATAAATATGTTTAGTCAAACGTGTTTTCTTGATTTTAAGTTCCAAACGTGAATGCACATCAAGCACCAAAACCAAGATGAACTGTTTACACCTAAACATTCACGTGCATATTCTCCATACTGTTCTCTATATATTTCGTAGGATGCTGACAAGGAGAATTTGTTAACAATCAATAGCTTCTTTAGGTGGTGATCATTTCCTGTATTCTTGTGGCTTCATTGTGTGAATCAGGGGTGATAATGTTAGGAGAAATTAGATGCTAGTCATTGTGAGGAGTTAAAGGGTCCAGAGCTCACCTTCTTGACGCCAATCTGGCACACTCTTTGGCCAAAATGGACTTCATCAAATGTTCTCCACAACCTACATACATTCAAAATTGCTATTACACAATACATCTGTTTAAGACCATCAGTTTAATGATCTGATCATGAATTCTCTCATCTGGCTTCTATAAATTTCCTTGTTAATTAGTTGACAGAACTTGCCAAACTACACATCAAACTAACACATCATGACAACTTAATCTGTGTAACTGATGAGTTTGTGTATTTTCATCAACTGTGTCAATAATTTGATTGATTTTCTGTGAAAAAAAGAAAAAAGAGCAGAAAAACTGCAGATTCAACAAACTAAATAATTCAAACCTGATGTACAACAGGCCACTCCAACTTTGTTCATTTGACGACTTGTTGCCCAGCAGCCACAGCCATAAACACTTGCCTAATACAAGAACATTTTATAAAAAGGCATACTTTGTTTTTGGTGAGAAAAAAAAAGGGAATTCTCTTCAGACATTCCCAGTGGGAAATCAGAGTTCATTTATTCTAACCTCCCATATATTCTCTGAAAAAAAAAAATCGTAACTTTGTATGGAGCAAGCTTTTTATTCACCTGACCAATACGACCCGGTGTTTTATAAATAACACCACCACTGGAAACACCAGCACAGAGGTGTCCATGCATGTCCATACAAACTGCACCAACAGTGTCCATGTGGTTACCCTCCTGCAAGGAAATGGATTAGTATTAAAAAAATAAGTTTCCAAAATCTCAAGGTTGCAGTTGTCCTTAGGAAACATACTACTTCTTGCTGCCTCTCTTGAACTGAAGGGTTGAAGAAGCTTGTTGAAAAGCTTACTATTATCTACAATGAACTAGGATCTTGTCCAGCAGGACTGCCAGTATGCACTGTGAAATTTATGTGAGTATGTGACTAGATGCTTAAATACACATAGTTATGCTTAATCTAACTACGTTTAGCCAAAATCACACACTAAGGTCAACATGTAACCTCCTGTTACTTACATTTGATACATTACACAGGTTTTCAAGTGGACATGGCTTGGATTTGTAATCTACATCAGATAACTCTAATCTTGACTTGCATCTTTTCCATGTTTGGATGCTTTTGTCTTAAGAAAAAAGAAATAGCAAAACTGCAACAATTTTATAATAGGAATGTCAGAAATTACCAATGACAAGTCTGTCTGCCTGGGCATGTTATATAACCAGTAAAACAATACAGCTGATCAGCCCATTCAGTTATTATACATCTTGTGCAAGAATTGCATATTTTTAAGTGCCAGAGGTGTCTTTTAGGGGTTGCTTAAACAGAAAGAAAATTGCAAAAGAACTAGTTCATCAGCAACGGTTGTTCCTTAAAAATGATACAAACATCAGAAAAGAGGATCTTTACTACAACAACAACAACAACAAAAAAAACTCAGAACCACAGACTTCCTTCAATTTTATACAAGATTTCCTATTTAATTGAGTTGAAAATGGATAAATACATTTTCCACAATATTTTGAAAAAGCAAACTCTAAAAATTAATACAATTTCTTTAGTGCTATATGAAATTTTTCTCCCAACACTACTAAAAAGATAATAAGGCAGAAATAGGGTCCATAGGATGGTTTTGTCAGATCAGGCACCACCAATCACACTCACCTGTGATCATGTCTTCATCACGACATGCAATGAAACCATGATCCAGAGCCCATAGATAAGCTCCTTCTCCTGCAAGAAAGCTGAAAAAAAAAAGAAAAGATATTGCTTGAATGATTTCAAACTGTTTTAAAGTAACAATGTCAATAGGTGCAGCTGTGCAGTTAACATACTGATCATTAAACAAACAAAATGTTATAATTTTTAAAGCAACATTAAAAGAACAAATTCTTGAATCATATTGCCAGTCTTCAATGGCATGGAAGACAACAGTAAAGCATCCTTCATTAAAATTTTATTTTAAAGCCATCTCCTTGAGGGGGGAGTGTTAATCACTTATGATCTCTCACAAGAACAAGTATACCCGGCCGGTATTTATCATGTCTTAAATTCCCATAAAAAGTACAAAAACATATCAACAAGAATAATACTTTGATTTGTCTTGAATATTTTTGTTTTTAGGGAGAACAAGGGAGAGCAATTCTTTTGTTTGGAGGGAAAGCTTATGAGATGGTCTGCAAATCAGCTTCAAACACAAGAATATGTTGCAATATTAACATATTCATGATAACAATAACAACATACATTGGAGAAATAAGACCCAAAACTGATGGTCCTGACATGTCCCCCTCCAACAGTTTACCAGCTACCTGAATAGGATTCCTTATTCCTGGAAAGCAAGATAACAAATCAGTTTTTCATTAAAAAGTTAATGGAATTACTCATGTGTATGGGATCCTTTCTATCACAAAGAGGCAAGCACAGAGTAGCAAATCAATTTTCTTTCTTAAAAAGGTAAAATGTACAACCAAGTTCTCTTTTTTTGTAAGAATAAAAAAGCAACACAGTTGAATATATTATCATGATTATTATTATGATTATCATCATCATTATTCTATAAAATTCACAGCCTAACATTGTAAAGTGGTTGGTCTGTTTGTATTGTTACTACTTCATAACATCTCCAATTGGTAACAACAGTAACCTGTAAGAGATTTTTGCTGTAAACACATGACAGTTATCTCAAAGGCCCCAACATTGCACTTGATCTTCAACTGGTCCCAGAATTACACTGTATGGGAGCTTGCTCTCAATTTGATACTCAATCCTTCAGTCAGTTTTACAGTCAGCCTATCAATCTGAACTTTCCTTGTCAATTCTTCTACCAGTAGTTTCAGGCCTTACTCAAACCCAGATTACACAAGTGAACACATCAGATCATCAGTACTTTAATGATAAAAAAAATTTCCTCCCCTCACTGACCCTTAAGAGCACCAACAGCTCCAAATGCTGAGGAATTCCCATCCATTATACTTGCATCACACTCTACTGTTCCTGATTTGGTTAAGTTAGAACCAATCCCTGCATTAGTGCAAGGAAAATCCTGAACAAAGATAATAAATTGCCGACAAAGTT